TTGAGACGATGCTTCCCAGGTAGGTGAAGGAGGTTGTTTCTTTCAGGTTCTTCCCATTTATGCTTATTGTTGTCTGTTGTTGTTGTGCTGTTGATGTTGGCTAGGAATCTTCATCATCTCTGTTTTATCTATGTTCACGTGAAGTCCTATCTTTGATGCTTCTTCTGCCAACTTGTTACTTTTCACTTGCATATCTTCCAGTTTATGGGAAATCAGACATATATCATCGGCGAAATCCAGATCCTCCAAGTCTTTTGTGTCAGTCCATTTTATGCCTGTTCCCTCGTTGGCCGTCGTTGTCTGTCGCATTATCCAATCAATTGCAATCAGGAAGATCATTGGTGATAGTAGACAGCCTTGCCTCACTCCCGTCCTCACTTCGAAGGCTTCCGTAAGTTTCCCGTTGTGGATTACTTGGCATGCAGCATTGTCGTATAACTGTTGGATGAGATGTATAATTGTCGATGGGACCCCGTAGTAGCGAAGTAGTTTCCAAATGACCTCTCGATCGACGCTGTCGAAGGCCTTTTCAAAGTCGATGAAGTTGAGATAGAGAGGTGACTGCCATTCCAAGCTTTGTTCAATGATGATCCGTAGAGTGGCGATTTGATCAATACATGATTTGTTTCTCCTGAATCCAGCCTGTTCCGGACGAAGTTTTTCATCTAGGGCTTGTTTGATTCTCTCCAGGATGATGCGACTTAGTATCTTGCTTGGAATGGACAGAAGCATAATTCCACGCCAGTTTTTACATTGACTTAAGTCTCCTTTCTTTGGAAGTTTGAATAAGTAACTGTTCTTCCAATCCTCGGGTACTTTGCCCTCTTTCCACACCTTCTCCAGCAGTGGTGTCATCAAGTCCGCTGTTGTCTCTGGGTCTATTTTCAAAGCCTCTGCTGGGATTCCATCTGGTCCCGGTGTTTTCCCAGCTTTAAGCATCTTGATTGCATTCAGGACTTCTGATTTCGTCGGGGGGTCAGTGTTCACTGGTAGTTCTGCTTCCGTTGTTGGTATTGCTGGACGTGTTGTAGGTGGCGGACGATTTAGAAGTCTTTTGAAGTGTTCAACCCAGTGCTTTCTCTGTTCCACCTCTTTGGTGATTGACTTTCCATTGTCGTCCTTTATTGGCTTAATCTGTGTCGAACGTTTGCCCGAAAGGTTCCTAGTTGTTTGGTAGAGTGTGGCGAGGTCTCCTTTGCCTGCAGCTTGTTCTGCTTCGTTTGCCATGGTTTCATAATATTTTCTTTTGTCTTCCCTGGCACTCTTCTTCACTCTTTTGTTCAGTGTATTGTAGCTTGCATTCAGCTCCTGTTTTTGTTGCTCGTCAGTGCACTGGATAATCTTTTGCTTCACTGTCCTTCTCTCTTCTATTAGTTTCCAAGTGTCCGTAGTGAGCCACTGTTTGTCCTGTCTCTTTTTTCTGCCTAGAATTTCTATGCAGGTTTGGCTCCACACCGTTTTCAAGTTGTTCCAGTGCTTTTCGACGCTGACCTTTTCGCTGGTGTTGATTTGTGTCTCAGCTTTGTCCTTTATGCTTGCAATGAAGATGTCCTTTGTAGCCTGGTCCTTCAGCTTTTGAGTGTTGAACTTGGCTTGTGGTCTATCTGCAGCTCCTGATTCCCTGAAAGCTTTTAATTTGATTTGGATGCACCACCATACACCGGGTTCGAATCCCTGTGGGTGCGTACTGCTGAAGTGTCCCAAACTAGGATGAAACAGCTAGTTGTCTAGTACTCCCAGGTTTTCCAATGGTTCTCAAACTATTGTCAACTCATGACGAAATCCCGTAACCAGTCAAATCCCTATTAACCATCACTTGAATATCAATGAGATGCTCACTAGCAACTTGCCATATTCAGGTAAGTAGTTACTACGGGTTCTAGTGAAAAGTCGTGACCAGAAGGGTGCAGCAGGTCGGGTGTGACGATGAATTCTCGCCGAAGACATTGGCTAGTGGTCGCGCTATGTCATGAATAGGCAGAAGTTAGAAATCATGGACCATTGGATCGGGTCCCATTGGCCTAATGGTATACGAGCTCGACTTGTAGGCAGAAGGTCCTGGGTTCGAATCTTGGTGGGTGCCCGCTGATGAAGAGTCCCAAACTAGAACGAGACAGCTAGTTGTCTAGTACTCCCAGGTTTTCCAATGGTTCTCAAACTGTTGTCAGCTCATGATGAAAATCCTGTAACCAATCAAATCCCTACAAGCCAACACTTGAATATCAATATTATTCCACAAGAAGTAGGCTTCAATGCTACTACTTCACAATGTTCCCCCTCAACTTCCCAGGAGAAATCCCTACTGATAGGTAGGAAGTTGTTTGAAATAGTAGGCCAGTATAGAAGAGCATAGAAATTATAGAAGGCGACCTGCTTATAACCTGTGCTAACAAAAAAGCCGCCATCACTATTCTGCATATACAATTTCACTTGTTCACCTTGTTTTAATCGATTAACATACAACCTCTAAGGGTGTTATTCAATCTGGCGCGCATATGAACTGTTTACAAAAACTACTGATTGTCAAGTTTCTAGGAAACTGGAGAAAAAGTATAATCGTCAAGGTGGACGGGGATGGACTACAGTAGGTCTCAATACATGAAGCAATGATTCCTGAGTCATGTCTGTCTTTACGTCTCAAAATATACCTCTGAATTCTTTTAATCGGCTTTCAACTCAATGTCATGGATTTCTCTATGGGGGAGGGAAAGAAGGGATCTCATCATAATTGGATCGGGTTTTGCCTCATGTCAGACAGTACTGTGTAATACACGATCTACACTCGATTAACCGCCTATCTGAAGATCCTGGATGAAGAAGAAATATCATGCAATTAAACTGCACTGCGAAATTCTGTACATAATTTAAACACTGTTTAGAATAAAGCTACTTTTTAATTTTACCAGTCATTTTTGGTATTTATTTATTTATTTTATTTTCGATTACAGCTTGATTCCACACTGTATTTTCGGTACAAGTATGGAATTTTCAGCATGGATATCATCGGTAGCCCAAATTTTGCAGGCCAACCATAGATATCAGGTGTGTGTCGGCAGGGGATCGAACCTCAAACCATGTACATGGTCGGTGAGAGTCCTAACCACTGTGCCACCGACGCAGAAGATGAGAACAATTTGAACTGCAGTGAAAACGACTCATTTTTCATTGGTAGAAAATTTAGGTAGCTCAGCGATTTAAACAAGCCGCCGTGAGAAAAATACTTCAATTTAGTGTCCGCTGACTCAAAGCTACTCATATTTCACAGTATTTCAAACATTCTTTCCCTGATGAAAGCTGATTCTTCATTGTTCTATTCTATTCGTTTTTAATTTTATTTTTTTTGCATCGAAAGTGTTTTCTTACCCTGAGGCAATTCTGATTCCTCGTTCGAGGTCACTTGTTGGTAGGTCATTCGTTCGGTTTTTATTTGGGTAGGGTGTGGTTGGGCGTTATTTTTCCACTTGACCGGAAAACAGTTTCAGTAAATGTCGATAGAGTTTCTTTCATCACAGAGTATATTTAATTTGATAAGCCCCACAGTGTTATACATACAGTATGAATTTAGATATGATAGAGAAGATTTGTAACTCAGGTGTATGATTTTGATGTGGTTGTGTTCTCTGAGCTAGCTGGATAGTTAATTTGCGAAGCTTTCATTGCCCCCCACCCTACTAGGCAACATCTTCAGCGCATACTTTAATTCGTTGAAGCGAAAACACATTCACACCTTGTAGGCGATCGAAAGTTTCTACCACTATTGGCATGGCACACGGTCTTAACTCTGTCATATTGTTCAACTGTCGAAAATCAACACAGAATCTATACTTCCCATTTGCTTTTTTTTTTACTAAAAGCACTAGAGAGTTGTACGGGCTATCAGCTTCCTTAATAATATCATCTTTTAACATCTCTTGCATTTGTCGCTCCACTTCTCCTTCCAGATGACATGGAACTCTTCGCGTTGTAAATGACCTTACTTTCGGATCACTTAACGGAATTTCATGATTCACCTTATCGCAATAACCGTATGGGTCCCCATCTCCAGTGAACAGGTGATCGTATTTAATAATTAATTCTGTCATATTCTGTACTATCGACAGCTTAACCGCTGCTATCTCGCTGTTCTTATACTTGTTGATATGACCGTATTTCGTGACCACAACTTTCGCTTGCGTGTCAATTATTGCACCAATCTCCCGCAGAAAATCCGCTCCTAATATCGTTCGCTGTAGTTCGGGTACAACAATGAAAGGAAACGTTACCTCGCAGCCGCCAACAACGACCGTACAGTTCGATCTACCCGTGATACGCAACACATGCCCGCCTACTGTTTGTACTGTCAATAAACACGGACTAACACTCTTACATAAATTCTTTTCTATTAACGACACGGCCACCACTGTATCTATTAAACATACTACTTCTCGATCACTGACTCGCAACTTCGAATACAAAGCCCCTTTCTCAATAGCCCCCACTAAATCTAGTTTCATACGAGAGAAAGAACAAGTATTATACCGTCTGAAACTTTTTCTTTTTCGCCTTTCTGGGCAGTATCTTCTCCAGTGTCCCGGCTTGCCGCATTCAAACAAAACATCGGTCTTTTCTATCAGCCAACTTTAACGCCGCCACTTCCCGCTGCAATGCTTCAATTTTCTGCTCATATTCGTTTGGTTTTGATTGCTCTATAGTGGCTGCCGTTGTGCTCAGCAGCTATCCGGTCACCTTCGCCAGCTCACTGAAACTGACCTTCGAATACTTTTTGAAATTTTGTCACATGGGGATTTCTTCTAGTTGTTTCGATGTAGTTATCGGTTCATCTTCTGGCTTTCTGAGAGGATTATCGACATGTAGTCATTCTTTGTCACCAGTTCCCTTACTTAAAAGTGAGAATATTACTGCTTTGTGGTGGAGATGACGAAGGAAACACAGCATTGTGATCAATCGAAGCAGTTGTAAACGACGAGCCAATCATTCTGGTATCTTCGTTGGATCGATACATGCGAATAGATAATCGTGATACGGGGAAACGTCTTGGAAAGATTTATGTCAAATTTCCTGTGACATCATTTCTTGTAAATAGCACAACAAGTTTCAAAAATCTTGAAAAGTTTTTAAAGAAAAAGGATGGTGATCACGCTGCAAATGATCCGGAAAGTCGTGATGAATCTCATGATATATCTGAAACAGAACAAAAAGAATTCGACGAATTATAGAGTCAAATACCTGTTGCCGAAAATGATGTTGATGCTGCTACTAATAAAGACAATGAAGAGACTGGGAATCATAAAGTTAGTAGACGAAAACGTAAAAAGTAGTGAATGCCGCCTGTTATGTACTGTATTATATATATCCTGGCAGCGACACCAAATGCAACAACAGAAGACAAAGGCTGGCAACAGATCCTTTTATTACGGAAGTCAGCACGTATTTATATATTTTTTATGTACACTATTAGAGCTTATTCAAGTAAACCATGATATATCTGAAACAGAACAAAAAGAATTTGACGAATTAAGAAGTCAAATACCAGTTGCCGAAAATGATGTTGATGCTGCTTCTAATAAAGACAATGAAGAGACTGGGAATCATAAAGTTAGTAAACGAAAACGTAAAAAGTAGTGAATGCCACCTGTTACGTACTGTATTATGTATATCCTAGCAGCGAAACCAAATGCAATAACAGAAGACAAGGGCTGGCAACAGATCCTTTTATTACGGAAATCAGCACGTATTTATATATTTTTTATGTACACTATTAGAGCTTATTCAAGTAAACAAACGCAGTCTTCTGATTGGTTGTTTTCAAGTTTTCTCGGAAAGTGGAGCCATCTATCTGCGAATCATATTTTCCCACGCTTAAGTCTGCTGTGATTGGTTGTCGAATCAGCCCTGTGCATATTTTCTCGCGGCCAATATTAGTGACCTAGACACTGACGTAGATTAATGTCGACCAATTGATTAGCAACCTGCTCTCACCACACTTTCACCTATGTATTTGACCTGACAATCATTCCAGCAGAGCATTAGATAAACTAAATTGTTTTGTTTTAAAGGCTCCACAGGACTGATCCTTTAACCGACAAAGCTAGTTTATAACTGAGTTTGTGGGTGGTTTGAATTCCAGCCACTTTTATTCCTCCTGCATTGTTAAGAATTCTACGTAAGGTTTCTGAGGTTCCTTCCATGTATGGAAATACTACTGATGATTTAGATTCCTTATTGCTTGTGTAATCATTATTATTATTATTATCACTGTTATTACTGTCATTATTATTGTTATCATTATTATTATTGTCACTACCGCTTCTATCATTATTTATTTTATTTTTACATTTCCTTACCCGGGTAATTACTAAGTGTGATACATCTAATAAACAAACTAATATGGAATGACTTACTACCACATAGCCGAAGTTTTACACATATATTAATCTCACTATTCCTGATCTACTAGTGTGACCTACACAGCTTGTTCTACCTGAGTGAGTTTGTAGGTTTGAATGCCACCCTAATTCTTGTTTTTCACTAAGAATCTCTTACGTGGTGTTTTAGATATCCCCTCCTTATATTATGCTATGAAAACTGTAGATGCCTTATATTCTTTCTTATTTATATTATGATCAATAGTTCCACTGCTATTTTTAGCCTTATTCTTATGAGTTTTATTGATTTTCTTAATGAGTTCTATAGAAAGGGGATATTGATTTATTACCGTACCATTTACTTGTTGACAGTTTTCATCAAATGTTGTCACCTAGAAGCCTTTTAAAAGTCAAAGAGTACTGATTAAATGTTTCGCCTTTGGTCTAGGATTCATCAGCAGCACATACTGAATGAATCCATCCAAGAGTGATTCTGTGTGTGTGTGTGAGTTGTAATCAAACCTGTCTCGATACTCCCTGCTGGAAATAACTGTCCAGGTAAGCATTTTGGTTGCATTCAGCAATCCTTCAGACACCAAGCAGTACTGCTAGAAAATTTCTTGTCCCATCGTAGGTTTGTGTCTCTAAAGCAGTACGCACAAATGACTTCCATACCCTAGATGGTGGGTGGAAATCGTGACATGATCAGGCTGCAATACAAACCTACTGATCATTCAACCACCGGGACGGAATTCATTGGCTCTCGTGAATTATAAATTCAATCGATATACGATATGTATTGCGTAACCATCATTCAACGTTATCGGTAAATGGTTGTTCTCACGCCCAGTTTGGTGGATCCCACTTTCAGGAAGTTGCGTGATCTGGTTGGGTGACTTATGTGTAGTTCAGCTCAGCAGATCTACTCAACAGTGCAGTAATATTGTCCGAACTACAAGAGACAGCGCGCAATAAGATGTCAAATGGCAGTGTAGAAAAAGCAAGACAAACCTTTATTATTTTTAAATTGAATTTCAGATTTTCCCGTCGATTGATTGGACTGAAGTGCTCGGTTTCAGGTCGACATGTCTGTCGGCTTCTTGTGCAGATGCTTCGACGATGTCTGGAAATTTAATAAGCATTTAATTGATGGACGGTGACTAGCAGTGTAATCCAGATGACGAAACCCCAAATAGGACGAAATGCGCGTTATCCTGGATTCCAGTGCTAGTCACTATCCACCAATTAAATGCTTTATTATTATTATTATCATTCTGAAATCAATGTAGAAATCTGAATAGCACTCAACATAAAGAACAAGATCCGGATTTTCAACAGTAATGTCAAATAGTCAGTCAATCAGGACTTTGGTATATATGGCTCATAAACTTCGCATCTTTTGCGGACTTTCACCAATGACTGTCCTATTCTCTCTATACTGAAAATCTTAAATGCTTGGAGACAATCGACAGGAAGCGTTGCCTGACGTAGGTTTCGCGCGAGTTGGTGCTCACCTGTCAACAAGGTGTTATTTGCAACCTTGAAGCAACTCATATCCCCTTTGAGATTCTAAACTGTGTCACCACATTGCAAACTTCACTGACTCGTAGAATTCAGTCTGCACGAAAACACTGAGGACTAGTTACTGAGTACTGTCCAATCAGAGAACCCATTACAGTCCTACAGGAGGTCAATAGCGAGCCCAAATAGCTCAGTGGTGATCATGTCTCTGATTGCAGGCTCACTGGATGACGCCGGGTTCGAATCTCAGAAAATTCCTCCTTCAAGATTGCAGATACACTTGCCTTACTGACTGGTGAGCGTCAATTAACACATTACCTACCTAGGTCAAGCAAGGCTTCCTGTTGCCGATTGCCTCCAACTATCTAACATCAGCAAATCAGGCCACTTTGCAAACTTGACAGACTGGTAGAATTCAGTCTACACTATACAAAGGACTGCAGACATTACGCTCGTTACTAACTAGTGTTCAGTCAGAATATTGAAGATCGGATGATACAACAAGTAACTCTGGTTACGAAACATACCAAAAGATCCTATCGCTTTACAAATATGCACAAGGAACTTATAAAATCGAATAGACATACTATGAGATAGCCGTTGAAACATGTAGTTCTTTGAGTGAAACTCGAATGGAAAACTATGCAGTAAGTTGGCGTGCGTCTGAAGAGGTGATATGGAGGAGATCATGTGAAAAGGGTAATCCTGAAGACGGCTTAAAAACAGACATCAGTGAACAGGGTGAAATGGCACCGAAAAAAAAAGTTATCAATAATAACGATGTATATACTCAACCTGCAACCTCATATATGACTGTACATATTTTTAAGTATTGTCTTTGGGGTTTTCACCATGAGCTGACATCATTTAGAGGACCATTGAAAAATCCACCAGGGAGTACTGGACAACTGTTCATATCGTCCGCCTAGTTTGGAACTGTTCATCAGTACGCACCCACCGCCAGGGTTCGAACCTGGGAGAAGTTAGAATTCATGGGCTGACTAGCCATTGGATCACGTCTCAGTGACTTTTATCTGCCTGTATGTTTTTGACATAGAACTTTGCACCGATATGCGACAGTTCAAGTCGCCACACTCCACTCCTTGTATCACAAAGGAATAGTGATAACGAAGAACAATATAGTTTCATTAGAAGTTATAAGTCACAAGGAGTGGATGCATCTGCGCCAGGCATTGACAACAATTTTGAACCATATCACCGTTTGTCTCCAGCCTTCATTGGTTCTTACCGTCCCAAGGAACCCAACCAGTCAGGAAGTCTGCACCTTCCTACGTGGCTTAAACTAATTGTTGTAGATTTCATTGACTGGTTCCATGTTTCGGTTTGACCACGAATAACTAACCCTTTTCCAGCCTGAACCTATATCAGCTAACATTGCCCGTCGAGGATGGAGATGACTAGGCGTATGTAACACATATCCTAGCCTCAGCTCAATATTGCTCACCTTATTATACCACTTCACAGGGGAGATAGAGTGCAGACACCTATGATCAAAGACAGCTAACCAGTGTTTTCATGTCTTCCACTCTCAATGGCCAGGTGTCACAGCCATAAAGGAGGACACGGAGGACGTACTGATGAAGAGTCCCAAACTAGGGCCAGCTTTTCAGTACCCCCAGCAGGTTTTTTTTGCAATGGTTCTCTAACCGATGTCAGCTCATGACGATATCTTCGGATTATAGATGTATCGGTCTTACTGATAATATTAATTTAAATTAATTTAATTTAAAGTAGAACGTAAAGTGAAATTTAAACACAAAAAAAATCAAATGATCAATTTTCAATATTCAATGATTTATATATATGTATATTTTGTGATTGCGATCTTCTTTCACTCTCTCTTCCTCACACACACACAATTTGTTTTTGATTTGTATTTGTTTATTTATCTATTCATTTGTATTGAATTCACATTATTATTTTTTTGTATTACAGATAGTAATGCACAAAAATAACACTATCATGTTTTTTTTAATCTAATGTAATGTAATTGTAATTGTAGTGTAATATATACCGTCTTATGCAGCTCAATTCACTAATTAATTAGTTAATTAATTTGTTTGTATAAGCGTGTGTGTAGGTGTGTGTGCGCATATATATGTACAGGTATACATCCTTTATGTTGTGTTGTCTGTTCATTGCTGATATTTGAATGAATGGATTGTGTTTATGTGTGCGTGCATGCCTACGTACGTATGTGCGTCTATGCGTGTAATATTGACTCATTCAAATGATTTAAAACTAGTAAAAAATCGATAATCACTCCTTATAAAAAGAAGACTTGTAATTAATTAAATAATAAAAATTCA